GGGCCGAGTTAACGCAACCTGCTTACCTTGGTTACGGTGTGCCAATGGAGGTTACCGAACTCCGCATCGTAGGTTCCGTCTGTCATTTTCCTTCCTCGAAAATGAAGTGTGGCTATTGGTGGGTACCAACCAATCGCTGGCCACCGGCAAGGGAGCGGAGGGGAACATAAGGCGGCGGCGCACAGAGCGCACTCGCACCCCCAACCCGCTAAAGCACTACACCTACCCCACAGGAGATGAACCGCTTTGTCACGCTGGTTATCCTTGCGTGCTTCCTCACCATCGCGGTACGGCTGCAACCTTTGTTTTAGCTACTCTGCGCAGTCGAATTCCCCGTTGGCCATGCAAACGGAGTTGTTGTTGTTTTCTTCTTGCCAAAGGCGGCGACGACGACCCGCGTGAAGGTGGCCATCGTCGGTGCTGGAGCCGCAGGCATCGGAGCCGGTTACCACTTCCACGAGAAGGGCATGGACGACTTTGTCATTGTGGAGGCCCGAGACCGAGTAGGAGGACGCTTGCACTCAGTTCAGGTAAACAACTAAGTTGTTTCCCCTATGATCAATTACGAAGCACCGCTTATGATCATCATCATCAACATCAACAACAACAGTTCTTCAACCACACCGTGGACTTGGGCGGTGCCTGGTTCCAGGGCACTAACGGAAGTCTCCTCTGGGAGCTCAAACAGTACGTTTTTACCGCTTCGCGATTAGAATCTACTTAGCTGGTTTCTTCTTTCATTTCTTTGCTCTGAGGGTCCGCACAATTTCATCTCAAATTCAATATTGCTAAACTGCAGAAAGTATGATCTTCCGTGCGCCTACACCGACTTCGTGGACATGTACACTTTCTATCCCAACGGCAGCCTGATTCCTGATGTACGCACACACTCCTCCAACCGCTCGCTTTTGCCACCGGCCAACTCACTGTGTGTGTGTGTGTGTTTGTGTGGCAAAACGAATGCATTTCGCAGGACGTTGTGAATCACTACCTCACCGAGTCTGATGCCATGTACTCCGAACTGGAAGACGTCGCCGCCCAGATGGCTGAGCAGGTTACACCGGACAAGTCCCTCATGGGTGCTATTGAGGATATTGGTTTCCTGAGCAGTACCATGAACGAAACGGACTACGCTGTCCGGAATTGGATGCTCTGGTACTACTTTGGCTGGGCTTACGGAGAACAACTCGAGTACTTGACTGCTTATCTCCTCCACCCCGAGTGATGTTGATAGCCCTCCCCCCCTCCCTTCGTGCTAACACCAACATCAACCAACCGTGCAGAGGAGTCGGTCTGAGGGCCATGATGGATGAGGGCGACCCCAAGGCGGACTTTGCTGCGGAGGACTGCCTGAACCTGGCCGGCTTCCAGAACCTCCTCATCAAGATGTCGGAGCCCTTCCGGCAGAAGATTCGACTCTCATCGCCCGTCAAGTTGGTCGACTATTCCAATGACATCATCAAGATCACAACGGCGAACGGAGATGTCATTGAAGCCGAGAAAGTCATCATGTACATTCTCCGCCGCTATTGCTTCCACACCACCACCACCACCGCCACCGCCCTAACCATCTTGATATATGTCTCCAGGGCGATTCCCGACCACCTGCTTGTCGAGGGGAGCATCGAGTTCACCCCTGCCCTGCCCACCATGTTCCCATTGCTGGCCTCGTTCTCTGGTATCACCTACCATTTTATGTTGTTGGACAGTTCATTGTTTGTTTATCGCAGCTCACACCTTTATCAGGAAGGGCTCAGTATATGAAGGTGTTTCTGCACTTCCCGACGTACTTCTGGGAGGCCCTGGGCGACCGGGAGTTCTTTGCCTACACCCACTCGACTGAGGGCTACTTCCCATCTTTCCAGAACTTGAATCTTCCCAAGGTACTGACTGAGCTGCTACAACATTTGCCTCTCTTGTGGATTACACCTTCTATGGTAGATGTGTACACATGGCTCCACTCACCTGCTCACCTCGATGTATTGCAGCTACTCCCTGGATCCAATATACTGGTTGCCACAATTACTGGCGACGAGGGCAAGCGTTTGGCCAACCTCACCGATGCTCAGATTCAGGCTGAAATCATGGTGGTGCTGAGGGCTATGTTCCCTGGCGCCCCTGAGCCCGATGGTATCTACCACTTCTGCATCTGTTGTAGGCCCGTCTATGCTTACAATTGTTTTTTTTCTTGCTTCTCCTTACAGGCTTCCTGAGGAACAGCTGGTGGGAGGATCCCTACAGCATGTCTGTGTGGGCTGGGACAAATATCAATGCCTACCCCTCCCTCCGACGTGCATTCCTCGTCCCTGTTCAAGAGAAGGTCTACTTTGCTGGTGAGTGGGCAGCTGACAAGTACAATGGGTAACTGATCTCTCCTCTTCTCCTCACTGCCTAACTCACTTTTGATGCTAACCACACATGTCTTTTTTATGGTCATGAAAGGTATGTGCATGGTGCCATGTACACAGGTATTGAACAGGCCAAGGCAATCAATGACTGCTTCCAGACCTCAACATCATTGTCATCTGCTTCAATGCTCACTCCCCTGCTCTCTCTCTTCTTCTGAAGAGCTACCAGTGCTTCTTAATAAACTTTTGCAACTTCTCTGCCTGCTTGCTCTGCAACCTGCGTCCATCTCCCTGGGTATTTGTTTTGTTTGGAAGAGTTTATGTGTAAGGTGCCTTCAAAGGGTGCCAGTTTGGCACTGCTGAATGATAACCAAGAGGGCTCGATGGCGCGTAGATCGTGCGCAAGATCGTCGGTGTGTGGCGTGTCTTCAGCATTGGGCATTGTGGTGGTGATGCAGACACACTGTTGTTCGGGCTGCGATTCAGTGCGTGCGCGCAGTATTTATGACGTAACTCAAGCCCAAGTTGACTGTTGTGGTGGTTGTTCTGCATATGTAGGAGCGATGATGGTGGACATGCCGAGGCTCGATAGGCGCGGCTCGACGGAGGCGCTGCCCAACGGAACGACGCCAGGGCACCACCGAGCGGGCTTGGCGCTGACGATGGAGGCCGCGCTATTTATTTTTTCCATGAATAAGAAAAGAAATAAATCCTCGGGTGATCACAGTAGGTCATGCACCATTTGCACGTCATGTGGCCTGGTACTGGTAGTGGTACCAACAAAGACAAAGCAAAAGAAAAAATAAGGCGATGGCCCAAGATCCCTCGACGACCACCTGGTCAACTGCTTTGGTGATGAAGCCCAAGTGGAGCCCACGGCCCAAACGTGTTCCTGGGTATTCTGGGTATAGGCCACCTTGGGTGAGCTCACGATGGGCACACAAGCCAGCACCACAAGAAGTGCACGAAGGGTACTCTTGGCAAGGATGTCGTTGATGAGGAGCACTTCCAGCCACAGCATGAAGCCCAGGGGCAGAGAGACGCACAAGGTGGCAAGGAGGCTAAGCGCAAAGCCGTGGCGAAAGACGAAGCCTTGCCCGACAAAAAAAACAAGCGCGAAAAAGCTCGCCATGAGAACAACAAGCCCCATGATCGAGTAGATGAAGTGCTGCACGTACACACACCAAAGCAATTGCATTAGCGTGGGAAGCAGGGCGCAAGAGAGAGAGAGAGAGATAAGGTCTACGCACAGGTATTAGGAGGCGCAGGTCTCGAGTGCGCAATCCAACGTAGCCAACTGTGGCCACTACAAGATGAGCAATCCAGACAAGCCACCAACTGAAGGGGATGGAGTTGGCCAATGAAAGAAACAGAATTGGCACAAACTTGGGCGTGTGTGTTTGGGGGGGAGGGGGGATTAGTCAGAATAATACAACCTATGCTTTTGCTGGCAGGTACCACTTGCAATAGGATGATGGATGCTGAAAGCCACTTGGGTAAGCACTCGCCACTTGGAAACCTTGCGACCGTGTGCATGTCTTGTTTGTTTTTTTGCTAGCTACTGAAGCAGGCGAACGCAGTGACGCAGTTGGCCTAAATGTGGCCATTGGGCAGTGAGTTTCCTCTCCTTTTTCTTTCTTCTCATGCATTCTTTTTCTCTGAAGCTGGGCAACTGCATGTTCAGGGCTGTTTGTTTTTTTTGTAACCAGCTTTCTTCTTCTCCTTGGCGCCTTTATTTGTACCCCTAATGCTACAGCAACATGCTGTAGATGACCTTGATGAGCCTTTTGATATCATTGTGGGGCAATGCAGAGGAACATCCCAGTTCCATTATCTTCTTGATCTGGGTCCACATCATGGTGGCATCTGCTCAGCTGAATGAGTCTTAGGCCAACATCATCAGCAGTGCAGTCAAGACCATCATCATCTGCTCCAACCACTCTTACATCACAACCTGGATGATGACTGGTGGGGCTTCAGGTCAGTGCAGCTGGTACCCCAACCTTGTCTTGACCTTTGCCACGCTCCTCCAGCTCAACCTCCACAGCATCAGCTCCCAGCACACCTGCACAGGTACTCTACCCTTCCCCCTTTTCATTGTGTATGTGTATGTGATTAAACAGATCACTAACTACCCACTAAATCAACAGATTTACCACCCCTCTTCAACCCTGCAATTGGAACCATCATGCAAGAGAAATTGAAAATCCTGAGGAACCCAACACCCACTTCCACAGATGCAGCAGCACCCACAGCAACAGACACAGGCACAGCAGCACATCTCACAGCAAGTGCCACAGGAGCTGGAGCAGGAGCACGAGCAGGAGCAGGGACAGAAGCCCTCACCACCACAAGCAGTCCCACAGCTCCAACCTTGACAACATATCTCATCCAAGTCCTCACACTCTGTGAGGGAGTCTGCAGTGGAGCTTCAGGAGGTGCTCCCTGATGAAAGTGGTGAGCTTTCAAGCACTCACTGATGTCACATGTCACCTCTGTGAGAAAGGCTTGGACTGCACTCATGTGCACAATCAGGGGTGATGGCCTGGAGTGTGCTGACACATTGGGCGCATCACTGTCATTTGACACCTTAGGACCACCATTGAATCCATCTAATAGTCCATTTAAATAAACTCTTGTGAACTTGATGGTGTCCTTAGACAGCCACACACACTTGTGTGGACCAAGCCACATGAGTTGTCTGTGGTGCATAATGATTCACCTGTGTGTGTGTGTGTGTGTGTGTGTGTGTGTGTGTGGGTGCAGGCCTTGTGTGCCCAACTTCCTGAACCAGCCTGTCATGCCTCCATGCACCTCATACTGCAAGTCATGGAATAGCTGAAGTTCAGATGAAAGCTGGCATGAAAATGACTGGCCCAAAGTGGAGTGTAGTTGAGGACACTTCATGCTTCAGTGCTGGAAGAGTAGGCCATAAGGATGAGCTGGTAGAAGACATGACCTGTTGTTGTTGGTAAGCAAGCAGGTAAGAGAGAAGCACATTGCACTATGTAAAATGCAAGGAAAAAATTACATTCTCAGCTGAATCAGGAGCAATCTGGGTCTCTCGGCGGTGATGTGGCAGCGCCCCGGTCTCCTGACCCAAGCATCGAAGCGAGGCCACACCGGCATGACATGGGTCGGAGTGTTTACACCGTTGGGGATCGTCTTGTCCTCGCGCAGATCCTCGTGAAGTAACGTGCCACCATGAAGATCTCGTGCGGCAGATTCTTGGAGTTTGCGTAGCCCTCGGGCACTCCCCCTAGCGATAGCAGGCGCATCTCGCAGCCCTTTTGCACGGGCGCGTGGCCATAGGTCTTGGCGCGCGGCATGGGCATGTTGCGGATCGGAGGAGGGATCGCGTAGGTCCGCGATTCCTGGTCGATGAAGATCCAGACCGAGCGATCCGCTGACGGGAGTTGATCTGCGGCGGGCACGTAACCCTCGGCGATGAGCTCGCTTTCGGTGCGATCGCTGGCCTCGACATCGCACGGTTTCCATTCGTGATTGAGGCCCAGCGCGACGCGCGTCTTGTTGTCGTCGGACGACACGCACTGACGAAAGACCTTGTTGATCAGCATTGTGTGGAGAATAAGAGAATCCGCCCCCTTGCGTTCGTTCTTTTTATGCCAAATGACATCGCTTGGGCTCCGCTCACATATTACACATCGTCCGAAAACAGCAACAACAAACATGCACGCCGTCTCATCCATCCCGCTATCCTTCATGCAGCGCTTCCACGATCCGCCGCTCGAGTATGCCGACACAATCACGCCGGGCACCGTATGTGTCGTCTACGCCACCGAGAGCACGCACGACGACGATCACGCCGAGAGATTCGTGGTCATGCAGATCCGCGAGCGATTCAGGAGCGGATGCCCCAAGCGGATCATCGCCGAGCATCCCGAACGCCGCGAACAAAACAAGACCGACTGGCAACGCCACTACTACAGCACGTCCAAGAAGCGGTGGTTCTGTAAGGCCATTGACGGACTACGTCATCCTATTTGGAACTATCATTTCGAGTAATAAACACCGACATGGACACAAGAAGATCTGCGACGCGCGCTGGGCTTCGTGGAACGGATGGTTCGCGACGATGGCAAGTACAAGTTCTACTTTATCGCGCATGAAGAATCGGCCGCGATTGTGCATGCCATCGCCCAGAATCGGATCGTGGACGGCATCTACGAGCGCATCCAACATAACATGGGAGGCGCGGCACCCCCCACCACGTTCAAAATCAAACTGTGGAGCGGTGGCGAGTCAGACGCATGGCACGTCGAACGCCCCAAAGACATGAAGATCTTGGGCGGCCTTAAGCATCGAATCGAACATGGCAAATACGAAATCGCCAACAACGACAGTCACACGAAAGCAAAAATCGATGTTTCCGGTCTGCTTGTGTGCATAAAAAGCCAAAAAGTTCGGCCATAAACACAACCCCACTTTCACCATGACTGGCACGCACTGCGATCCGCTTGAGCTCTTGACCGGCAACAAGTACCTCGAAAACGACTTCGAAACCCGAGTCGCCAAGGAACTGCTGGATGTCTGGCACCGATGTTCAATCGGCTGCGTGATCAGCGTCGGACCCAACGAATACGCCAGGGCCACCCAGCAGGGGTGGGTCGCGGCGTTCGACGGGCGCCCGACGACCTGGCAGAGATTGCTCATCCGTTCGTCGCCACACGACAGTGGCACCAAACGCCGATCCTTCGGCGTGCGAGGTGATGGCGCCTTGCTCGATCGCACCTTCACGATCGAATCGGTCAGCGAGTGGAAGGTCGACGATCCGAAACCGTACATCGAGCACGCTCTGACGAATCGCAAGTACGCCAGGGCCTTTATCGGCGTCATCTCAAAGTGCGAGAGCTGGAATGCACAGATCCAAGAGATCATGCAAGCCGTCATCCGAGCCTACACCGACGGCCAAGACAGAATCAGGCACTGGTCCAACATCGGGCCGGGTAAGAGGCCGACCGATTTGCCGCCGACCGACATCGATGCCGCCACACTGCGCAAGGTCAATGCCGGGTTGGCCTGGATCGGCGCGATGCGCTCCGTCTGTTCACACGAGAGCACGAAGCTCAAGATCCGAGGCAAGGGCGAAGAACCGTTGGCGTGGGAAGACGTCGACGATCGCGTGATGGCCCAACGCATCCGCGCCAACGATTCGGTCATCATCTTCGAGGTCATCGGTTTGGCGAACTACGGCGTCAAGTGCTCCATCGAGATCACGAGTGCCGCCCAGGACATCCGCAGCTTCATGTGCCGCGAGACGCTGTGGATGGACCCGAACAGCATCGAGACGTGGATGGGTCGACGCGCTGTGCTCGCAACTCGGCATCGTCAAGATGGGCCATCGCAAGCGACTCGCCATCGCCATCCGCCACCTCGACGACGACAAACGCGCGTTCAAACTGGCTATCCCTCCGCTGCAGCGCTCGCGCTCGTCGCCCGATGTGTTGGAACCGGATCTCAGGTCGGGCCGGCTCCCACTGTCGTCGCGAACGTCGAGGGGCGGATCCGTCGTGGGTCGTCGGTCCGCGGAGCACCACCAAGGCCTACGCGAACATGTTCGGCGGCATCGCCGTCAAGTGCGTGTACGACGGCGACGTGAGCATCGACGGTGACGTATCGTTGGGCTACGCATTTCGTCACATGACGACACATGCAACAAGGGGCCGCACAAATTGTGCAGCCGCCTTCAATAAATAGATAAATAAATCAATAAAAAGAAATCCCGACGCTGTAATTCGCTCCTTTATGTTGACACAATGTTCAAAACAAGCTACAACAGCCCTGTAGCTCATATCGCGGAAGGCGCGTAACATCAAATTGAACAATCGGAGGGAAGGGGAGTGGTAATTGTGAATGAAATTCTTCACAAATGCAAATACTAATTCACAAGGATTCAACTCGGGGGAATACGTGGGAAGGAAGCGGTAGCTGACCCCGACTGTGTTGAGAAGAGCAGTGATGAGCTCCCATGTCTGGCCACCAAAGTGGATGCTTGCATTGTTGATGATGAAAAAATTGCTGGCAGTGAGATGGCCTTTGTTGATGGCAGTGATGATGAAGTCAAGAAAGTCCCACTCTGTGTTTGAATCTTTTGTGATGCAGATGAAGAAGGGATTCTCACAGTTGGAAAGGTTGAGAAGTAGAGTGAGAGAATATGAGGTGCTGAGCTGGTTGGTGGAGGTGGTGTAGAGGTGGGCCCCTGCTGGGCCCACTTGCCAATTTCAATGCAGATGCTGATTGGTGAAGTGTGATTCATTGCAGTACTTGAGATGGATGAGGGGTGAAGGGTGGGGATGATGTTTATCCAGAGGGCGTAGTAGTTGAGGTTGTCCTCTGTGTATTTCATAGCTGCTGTGTGCAGGGCTTTTTCCATGTCCATCTCCACACACAGAAAATGCACTGCACAAAGGACCAAGAGATGTTGATGCCAAGCTGGCAAAGAAGTTGGACATGGGCTAAGAGGGTGTAGGTGGGGTGGAGCCAGACATTAAGCCACAGGACGTACTGGAGGATCATATCCCCTTCATCACCATACTTGAGGCCCCTGGAGATGCAAGAAAAAAATAATTAAAAAAAAGTGGGTGGTTGGCCAAGTGAAACATGTTACATGCCAGCAACCACCCCACTGAAGGGGATGGAAGTTCTCATCATGAAGCTTTTTCTTCCAATACTGAATAGCTCCTTGTGAAACACCATATGCTTGAGCTGCTTCTCATTCTCCAACTAGCTCAGCAAGTAGGGCAGCTAAAAAGCATGCAACATGAAAAGATTGCCTGAGAAGAAGAAAAAGATGAGAGAGTTGGATGACTTCAAAAGATCGTAAAGCATAGGTACCTCTTCTTCTCACACTCAATCTGAAGATGATGCTCTGTTGGTGATAAAATCATGTGCTGTGGCATGGAAGGAGATTGGAAGAGACTGAAAAATGGATAACCAAAACTCCTTGAAATAAAATTAATTGGTGGCTGGTGGGAGATCATTACTGGTGCCATGTCTCATGAGGGGCTGACAAAAGATGATTTTGATGCTTTATATGCTTCTATCTATCCTTCATAAGAACCTAGCTTGTGGGTTGTAGAGCCTGGGTCTCTTGGCCTTGCATGGCAACTGGGATGGGTTGGAGGTGACTCCTCCAAGATGTAACAAATGTCACATCTCTCAGTTTGAATCCCTCCTGATTGATGAAGAACATCCTTATGGGAATGAACATAAGTGCCTCCTTGGCACATGCACCAACTGGCACACTTGCTATGGTGGCCACAACAAAAGTACCCCCTTCTCTCTATGTCTGCATATATCAACATGACACTTAGTGACATGAAGAGCACCAAGACAGCAACAGAGAGGGAGGAGATGGTAAATGAGTTTAAATGAGTTGTTCAGCAAGCAAAGGTGAAGGGAGTACAGACCAACCAGAACCTGGCACTTCAGAAACAGGCACTCAACCTTGCCCATCAAATGAAGGAGTGAACAACACATCTCAACACCACCCCAGCACTCCATCAACCTGCCAGCAAGTTTCAAGGCAACATACCCTTCTGGCAAGTGAGGAAGAAAGCAACCTGGATGAGCTCTCCAGTGATGAGCATCCCCTGGAGAGCCTGATGATTGAGCAGTGGTACAAGATGAGGACGGGTGAACCTGTGCACAGTTTTCCAGTGTAAGCCACCAGTGGTCCTCCTCGACAAACACTGCTGACGCCCTTGTGCTGATTGTGATAGGCGAGAATGATAAACATCTTTACTACTTGGGATTGGCTTTTTTGGAAGCCACATCGCGCGAAAGATCTCGTCGGTGACTTACGGATGCACTGCGGGTGATCGTTGGTGACGGCCTGTCGATCTGAGGTGCACCCCGTACGATCGAGACGCCGAGCGTGACCACATCGCGCCACCGATGGCACCACCACTAGACCGAGAGTCGAAGATGGCCATGGTTCGTGGCACGTCATGAGCTTGCGATCAGTGCGATCTCAAGGATCTCAGTGGTCGAGCAAAATTGTCGTTTAATTAATTTATTTGCTCTATACTCTTTGTTTGCTTACTTGCAGCAAGCCATGCCCTCTTCTCCCCGAAGGGCCTACTTTGTCTTGGCCGTCCTGGTTCTCCTCCTCTTCTTCCACTACTTGGAGTGGCGAGGGACCACTTCTTCGAATCGGAAGTTTTGCCCTTCTTTGGAGGTCGGGCATGAAGAAGAAGAAGAAGAAAAAGAAGGCCCTCTACCCCCCCACGCCCCCCGACGTCGTCGAGCCGGCCAACAACGACTGTGGAAAGGAGCTTAGCGTCGACGAGCTTGGGATCTGTGCGCCGGTGTTGAGTCGCATGCGCGTGCGCGACAAGGACCTGTTCCTCAGTTTGGTCGGGCAGCTGCCCGACGTGCTGCGCTCTGCCCGCTTCTCCATGTTCACCCACGCCAACCGCTTCAAGCCGAACGAGGAGGTATTTACTCTTCAATCTCACATTTGCAAGAATTTTAAAATCGATTAGTGATGGATTCATGCGTGAGGAGCGATGCTCATTTCCATCTCTCCCCCCCCCCGCACCTCATGCTTCCTTCCTACTCCTTTCACGCTTGCAGGCTTGCCGCGAGAGGATGCAGTATGACCTGTGCAAAGAGTGCGCGGCCAAAAGCGGCCTCTGCGGGCCGGCGGCCAGGGAGGACCCTGAGGGCTTGAGCCTCCTGCCGGACGAAAAGAGAGTGCTCGACTCGATGGTGCGCGCCACCAACCTCACACGCCAACGCAGACCATTTCGGCACGATCCCACTTCGCCGCCCAAGCTGGCCTACGTGGTACGTAAGCAAACTCCTCCTTCTGTTATGAACCTCTCTACTCACCTGTTGTTGTTGTTGTTGTTGTTGTGAAGGTGTTCGGGTACGACGATGTCGGAATCAAGACACCCAACACGGCCGACTCCGTGGTCAGGCTGCTGGCTGGCATCGTTCACCCCAACGACACCATACTCGTACACATCGACGGCGACTCCTCCCCACCGTTTTACCAGGCCGTCGAAGACTACACACGCAACTTCGACAACGTCAATATGGTTGTACGCGACATACCATAACCTGGTGGGTGTGTGTGTGTGTGTGTGTCACTGTTTGGTACGCAATTTGATTTGTTTTCTTTTTTGCAGCGGGAACGCTTCGTGACATCGTGGGGCGGCATCTCAACGGTGTGGATTGAGCTCGCGACAATCGCCGAAGCCATTGAACGCGACGCCAAGTGGGAGTTTTTCATCAACCTGAGCGGGATGGACTACCCCATCAAAACGCACAAGGAGATCACGCAGTTCCTTGGCCAGAATCGAGGGAAAAGCTTCATCGAACATACCTACCCCACACCCAAGCTTCTAGAGGCAGTCCACAACTATTACATTGAATGTTCTGGTGCGCGCTCTCCTTTCCTCTCCACGACGTTTCAGCCTGCGCTGATTTTTTTCTCTTTACAACCTTACGACAGTTGGTCCAGTGCAAGTCAAGGGCGCAGAGGGGTTTGTCGCCCAGTTCCCATCCGGAACACACGTGAACGCCACCATCCCGTATGCTCGTGGCGAACATTGGTTACAAGCGCTTCCTCTTCTTCGCTATCTTTCTACACAAACTCGCACTCACTTCTTGTTTCATCATGCGATAGGTGGGTGCTCAGCCGAGAGTTCTGCGAGTGGCTGGTGTCGTCGAGTACCGTTCGCAAGATGCTGCAGTGGGGCAAACACATCTTGTTGCCAGACGAATACTTCATAATGACTGCCGCCGTCTGGTCGCCCCACTACCCCTTTGTGGTATCAGACCACCTTCGGTACGAGTCCGCCCACCACCGCCCGCCCGCCTACCAGCCCGCTCCTATACGTTGTTTGCCGTGCGTGTGTTGTGTGTTGTGTGTGGCTGAGCCGTCTGTGTTGTGTTGTGTTTCCCTCCTCCTTGTGTCGATCAGCTACATCCGGCGGCGTGACAACGGGAAGAGAGATCTGGAGCCCATGGACGTTCCACTCATGAAGAACTCCACCGCTCTATTTGCCCGAAAGTTTAATCCCAACGCAAACGACGTGCTCTCCGTCATGGAGGCGTGGCTCAAGGAGAAGATAGAGAAGGAGACAGCACAACCCTCACACAAACGCCCAACGCGATGAACAGAGGACATAAACATAAACATATTTGTTTATTTATTTATTACACACCATCGCATGGCAGGGTGAGGTCAAGGTGCCACTGGGCGAAGCAGCCTGACTGGGTGATGGTCCGACGCACGGGCCGCGGGATGCGCGGGTCGGGCGTGGCCGCCGCCGCCGCCGCAGGCGGAGCGATGATCCAAAGTGCGGATACGTGGAGGGCAACATGAATCCGTCATGTGCGGTCTGTAACTTCATGAAAGGCATAGACTGATGTTTGGGTGAGAACTGGGGTCTGTTTATTGCTGGTTTCACACCACGCAAAAGGCCTCTTCCGTGCGCGTTGCCGCTCTCTGAACACGGAGCCCCGAGTGCCGTGTCACGTGACTGACCGCCACGCGCTATTGATAACCAACCTCTGTGATTTCCATTTAGTTGGCATACAGCTTGCCTGCATGGAGGAGGAGGAAAGATGTCAGTGATAGCAAACACAAAGCACAATTGAAAGAAGTGGTGTGTACCCATCATGCCACTGCAGAAAACAACAGCAGCGAGTAGAAAGAACACCACGCAAAAATGGTTAGTCCAATTCAAGGTGTGGCGTGGGGCATTCGGGCTGAGGGAGTTTCCTGGACCAATGGCGTGCAAGCAGGATTTTCTGCTATTTTTTCATTGGTTTGTGCATTTTTGCCGTATTTTCCTATTGGCCGTTTTCTTGTAGACACTCTAGCTCGGCCCCACCTCGTCTGTTTGCCTTGAGATGCATACCACCCTGTTCCCCTGTTCATGCCCTACATGCTCATATGCAACACCCCCTTATATGTTATACCTGACTATGTTGTTTGCCTTACAATGGAGTGCTCATGAAAAAGTGACAGTGTCACTTTTTCATGAAATGGAAAAAGTGGTGTACATAGAGAGGTAGGAGGTGTGTGCTGGGGTGTACATGTTAAGAAGAGAAGAAGTGTATTACAGGTGCTGGAAGATCTCTTTGAGTGTGGTGGTGGGGACACCAGAGTTGGGGTGGAATGAGAAGCCACAAGCAAGAACAGAGCCAATGGGCACACTGCCTTCAGTGCCATGGTCAGCCCAGTGACCATTGGTGAAGTTCCACCAGTGGACATTGAGCCTCTTGCGCTGCACTGTGATGATCTTTGCAATCCAAAAGTCCTCTGTCACCTCATCCAAGTCAGCACAGACAGCTACCCAAAGCCCAGGGGCAAAGTTGAAGTGTTGGGCATCAGATGAAGTGCAAGACTGAACAACTCTGACCCAAGTCTGTAGGTGGAAGAGAGGGCTGTCCAACAGAGGATTAGTCAGAGGGTGAGCAGAGAGGCCATCAAAAATAGAGGAATCACAGGTAGGGTGGGAAGAGGCAGTCAAGGCTGCATGGGCTTCAAACATGTCTGCCCATTCATTGAGTTCAGACTCAAGGAAGAGAGGCACATCACAGTTGTCAGTGAAGTCAGTGATGACTTCAGGTGGAAAGGGTTGTGGGGGGATGAGGTATGGAGCGCCTGGTGTGGAGGAAAAGCTCAGTGCAGCCATTGTGGCACAGGTGAAAGGATGGTGTCCCCAACTACTGCTCACTGCAGCAGAATCCAGCCATCATAATGGAATCACTATGGGACACTTGTGATGATGCCACAATCTGTGAGCAGAAAGCACTACTTGACCACATTGATCCAGCAACACTCCATTGGCTCTGGGTTCAGCTTTCAAAGCGTGCTGTGGATGTTTGTAATTGCACTGTCTTTGGTACAGCACCCTCTATTTCCCATGTCACACTTTAAAAAGCGTCCACTCATCTCCCTCTTCCAGAGTGTCATCACCCAGTCACTGTCACTGGTGTTTGTCACCTTCTGCTCTCCATCATCAACAGCAGTTTCCTCACCACCAAGCCCTTCATTGT